CAACCTTCAAAGATAAGTCTGAACCCTAATCTTGAGGGTTCTTCCTTCTGACTTTCTGGCCGCAACCTTCAAAAACAAGTCTGAACCCTAATCTTGAGGGTTCTTCCTTCTGACTCTTCCTGATTGTTGGTCATCCTCTGATGCTTCACCAATAATTTCCAAGACTCAGCCGATGATCCTTTTTGCTAGAAATTTTCCAACCCTAGGAAATTCTTATGCAGCCAACCATGTCAGACTATCATAAGATTTCCTAGGTTGGCTCTGATACCATGTAGTCGCATGAGACTACTAACAGCCCAAGCTGTGGTGTATAACCAACAGAAAATTAAGAGGATGAGAGGAGAGAATGAAAGGAGAAGGAGAAAAGAAGAGAAGAAGATTTCGAAGGAAGGATTTCAGAAAAGAAGATGATGCTTAATCTGCCGCCCCCCTCTTTCTATTTATATTAATTCTAAAGTAAGGATAAGACTGCTTACATGGCAAAATTAAAATCCTAATAAAAGACAACAATTAAAGTCCTAATAAAAGACTAACAACTAATTGTGGACTGACACTTAAATAACTAGTAGTTGTATATGAGTACAATAGAAAGAGGTGGGGACCAAATCAGTGGTTTCTACATTATTTGAGTATATTAATATTAAATTGTAACTCCAAAGAAACTAAATAATCAAGTGATGATCAAATGAGAATGCTCTTATTGAGTAAATTTAGTAGATGTTTATGATTTTTTTTCTTTTGTTGTCTGAATTTTGGAGCCAATAAATATTAGGCACAGTAGGGTTCTCATGGTTAACCTACCAAAGAAACAATTATTCTAGAATAGCATCATTCAACAACTGTTGACAACACACACAATCAAGGTTTAAAGTATCGGAAACGCAATGTGTATCGGAGAGACAATTTTAAGAGACATATCGAGATACGCATAAGATACACATGGATATAGACAAAAAATTAAGATATGCATGGATACACTAAGAAACTCATATAAATCCTAAAAACCTATGTTAATTACAATAAATATGAGTTTTATATCACTTTAAATAAGTTATTTAAACATAAAAATCCATATTTCAGTGATTTATACAAAGTGTGAAATATTGAGACATAATTGGAAACTATTGAAAATGATGAAAGAATTAAAATGTTTGTGTATGTATACATATCATAGTATTTAAAGAATCAATATAATTTGTATTAATAGTTACCATTTTTTAGAAAGTAGGACCGATTGGCCTATTGGACCGGTTGGACCATGACTAGATTGGGTTAAAAATTTGCCAAAATTGCCAACCTGACTAGTCAAACTCGAAAACTAGTGAATCAGTCCTGGTTTTAGAAAAACAACTGATTTTTTAAATTGTTTTAGCACATTAATGCAAGCTTATAAAGGCCATATCTTTTTGCTCAGATGTTCTATTGCAATGACCTTTGTTTTTATTTTGGGTAACTTTTCAATATAGGTGACTTATAAAAAAAATGAAATTAAAATAAAAAATATATGTTATAAAAGAATACAACTATATAATTTGAATATATTAGAATCCAATATATAATTTATAATATTGTATATATAATACAATATATGATATATGATATATATAATATATTACGTCATCACAATTTGACCTCAGTTGAACCTCTAACCTATGAACTCTCCCTTTTCTAGGCTGATGTCCAACCCGGTTCTTTAAACATTGATATTTATTATATATATTTTAATGATGAATTTTAGCTTTTATTAGTAGTCATCCACTAACAAACGAATTTAATTAAGAATTAAAATACAAATTTATATGACAAACACTTGTGGTATGGCATAGTGGTGGACTTGTAGTCGTTACAAACAAATGAGTAGGGTTCAAATCCCTTTGTCCCCTATTTGTGATTTTTAATAGGCAAGTTAGTGGCATGTCAAGTTCAAATTTGAATTTGAACATTGCCTTAACTACACTATTCAATTTCCCTTTAATAGTGTGTTATTAAATGTGATAATTAATTAAGAGTCATTAAATTTGAATTTGAAAAGTTACTAATATTAAGAGAGAAGGAGGGAAAATAAATTTGAATTAAGAGTCATTAAATTCAAATTTGAATTTCAAGTTGTATCGGTCAATACATGCAGTGTATCGGACTGTATCGGGATTGTATCGGCCGATCCAGACCCAAAACGGACCGATACGGGCCAGTATCGGACCAGTACTAACGAAAATAAACGAAACATACAGATTCTGTATGTTCCGTGTATCGGATTCAGATCTTCAACGAAACGCAACGTATCGACCGATATGGACCGATACGTTGCGAAATTTTAAACTTTGCACACAATACACACTAAGCATTACCAATAATTCATAGATTGAGTGGGGAATGGGGATAATATGAAATAAAGAGAACTATAGGGAGAAAAAAAAATGAAGATTTGAGTGTTATCTCCAAATTTAAGAAGAGTGTAGACAAAGGAAACATAAAAAAGGATAAAGATCAGCACCTAAATCCTTGATCTGCAATTGAGTCAAAATAACAGGGGGTACATATGCCTCTAGTGGATCAAGCTTTTTCCTGGTGTGCAACATTAAAAAAAAATGTAAACTTCAACAATGAAGCAGACTTATTAGACTAGTCTCTTAATATAAATCTGAAATGGCAAATTCAGGTTTCTAGAACTGCAGGAGAAAATGACTCAGAGAAACAAAATGTAACCAATGCAACATTTGCATATCAAGTAAATGCCCAATTATTGTTTCACTAAGTAGATAAAGCAGCTTACCAAATATATACCCTATTTAATATTTTTTATCAGCATATATCCTATTTAATATATTTTAAATAATTTCCATACAGCAGACAGAAGTGCCAGTAATACAATCTATTCTCAAATGGAGACTATGTTAGATGTATTTTTTTTTTGATGAATAATAATAAGTTTATTGATTCAGAAGCAACTTTAGAGTGAGTTCATACATCATCCCAACGAGAGGCACAAGCTGCAGCCCCTCCTTTAATCTTACAAGTAAACTAGGAAAGAAAAACAAGAATCACAACTGAGCCCAAAATAATTCTTCCCTATTTACCCCTTGCTTAGCTAACACATCTGACAAAGTATTTGCTGATCTCCCC